ACGTCTCCCACAGCCACAGCCCTGTGTTCATTCCAGCCTTCACTGTTCTAGTTGAGGACATCATCATTTCTTGACTGACCACTTTCCATAACCATTTCAGTCATCCTCATGGAGCTGATAGAAAACCCTAATATCATCTGACCTCACTTTCCACCACATCAACAGGTACTTTTTTTTTTTTGAGATAGAGTCTCACTCTGTCACCCAGGCTGGAGTGCAGTGGCATGATCTTGGCTCACTGCAACCTCTGCCTCCTGGGTTCAAGCGATTCTCCTACCTCAGCCTCCCGAGTAGCTGGGATTACAGGCGCGCGCCACCATGCCCGGCTAATTTTTTTTTTTTTTTTGTATTTTTAGTAAAGATGGCATTTCACTGTATCAGCCAGGCTAGTCTGAAACTCCTGATCTCATGATTCGTCTGCCTCAGCCTCCCAAAGTGCTGGGATTACAGGCGTGAGCCACCGCACCTGGCCGTCAATAGGTACTTTTTAAAAGGCAAAGTCGAATAGGTCACTCTAGTTTTTGTGCCCATCTATATGTGCATTGGTTGGAGAAGGCTACTATCACAAAACACTATAGGCTGGGTGGCTTGAACAACGGATATGTATTTTCTCATAGTTCTTGAGATTGACAGGTCAAGGTCAAGGCATCGGCATGGTTGGGGTCTCTGAGAGCTCCCTTTCTGGCTTGAAAATGGCTGTTTTATTGCTATGTCCTCACATGGCTTTTCCTTGGTAAGTGTAGGGGGAAAAGGAGAGAGGGAGAAAGAGGGAGAGAGCACCCTAAATCTCCGGCGTCATGTCTCCTAAGGACATTAATCTGACAGGATTGGGGCCCATCCCATGACTCCCTTTAAGCTCACTTATTTCTTAGAGGGCCGCATCTCCAAATACAGCCACACTGAGGGCCAGGGCTTCAGCATATAAATTTGACAAACGCATTCTGTCCACAGCAATAACTTTATGAGGGGTTCCCACATGGGTGGCACTGTTGATTTTAGGAAAAGCAGCTTCTACAGGATGGTGGAGGCAAAGATTAGATTCTATGGAGTTGAGATGTAGTAGGTAAAGGAAAGGTGAATAAACGTAGACAGCATTTCCAGAACTTTACCTCAGAAAGGGAGTCGTGACAAAGGATGAGAGACAGCCCATGAGGTGGGTGAGATCCAGATGAGTCTTCCAAGGTTGGGAGAGGGATTTGGATATTTATTAGGCCATTGGTGCTACTGAGAAAAAAAGTAAGATGAGGACTGGAAATATTTATTGGAATTGGAAATACAGAGTTTATGCTGCTTCTCAATAACTCATATTAGAATGATAGACTCAGAAAAGGTTGAAGTAATTTGAAAATTAGGTGATCTGTAAACAGAAAACAAAATAGGGAATGCTCCAGAAATTTGACTTAAAAGAGGTGGCACACATATACTATTGTATCAAGAAGGGGATATTGGTTGAAAGGAATATTGAATGAGTGAGTGTGTGTGCATGTGTGTTAAAGAAAGACACAAGATTATGGATTAATAGTGAGCCATAGCATATATACAGAACATAGGAGGAACTGGTAATGTAAGATTTTATTCATAGTGTGGAAGAAAATAGTGTATTCTAACTAAGGGGAGTGAAACTGCCCTTTGGTATCAGAAATACAAAGAGAGTGAATGCAGCCAAAAATGAAGATATAGGAAGGTAAGTATGTTGGTAGATAGAGAGAGTATATTGATAAAGTAAGCAAAGAAGTTGACTTTGACATTTCAGCTATAGTAGTGGATCAGATCATCAACTGTGAATGAGTAGAGGAGCTCCCAGAGATTTATGAATAGAGAAAAAGTATTTGTCATAGTTGTGGAAAATAAAAGAAGTTGAACCATAAACATAGTTGACTTGATAAAGATCTAGATGCCTATTAGGGTTTATTATTACATATTTTTAGTTAATATTTTGCTAGTGCGACTTCAGGCGAGGTGGTTACTTTCTCTAACCTCCAGTTTCTTCTGTAAAATGAGAGCATTTGGTTAGGCACGGTATAAGGTCCTTTACATTTCTAAAATTATTATCAGGATTTGCCTTCAACTAAAGAGAATTTAAACCTCAAAGTAATCCATCTCAATTCGTCAAACATAAGACATTTTCATTTCATTATAGCTTTGAAGAAACTATTTACCACACATGTACCCATTAAACATGGATTAGGGAAGCCACACTTATGGGATAGCTCATCCCCTCTCCCATCCTCTTCTGCCACTCACACTTGCTGACAGAACAGGTGTGCACTGGACAGGACCTGGTAGAGTACAAGATGGTACCTACCCTGTTGAGATGCAAGAACACTTGGCAAGCTTGTATAGCCCTAGATCATTGCTTTCACCAACTGTCATGAGCACCTGAAGCCAAAATATAAAAATTCAATGTCTGTCCACGTGCATAGAAAATCGAGTCTGGATAGGAAATGGAGCTAAATCAATAACTCCATCTAACTTGCATTTGACATTTCCACACTGGCTAGTTATTTACATTTTGATCTTATTATTGAAATTTCCTTATAGCCTACCACGAACTGCTTTTCCTTGTTTCCTCCTCTGGTGTCCTTGCATACTGTTTTACAATGATTTAGTCCTATTTAATTTAGAAAGTTTTGAGGAAGAAATGCCTCTTGCCCTTCAGCCCTCCTTTCGGGGGCTAACTAGCGAATGAAAATAATTTAATCAGCTCGGAGTTCCTTATGAGAAACAGATATAATCAGTCTTTAAAGGCGAATGCAGTGTGATACTTGTAATCCTCATAGCTCTTTAATCACTGCTTGTTGGGACAGTATTTAACGGGACACTTTTTCACAAAACATGGGGGGAGGCATTGAACATGTTGGCAGATGCTTTGTCCTCAGAGGAAGTATTTCCTGATTCAAATAAATGACAATTGTAATCTCCTTAGAAAATGTCTGTCTTTATGATACATTGCTACTAACACATTTATTCTGGTGATACATTAATAAAAAATCAGTCTTCTTCCTCTTCTCCTCCTCCTTCTCCTCCTCCTTCTCCTCCTCCTCCTTCTACTCCTTCTCCTTCTCCTTCTCCTTCCTTTGAGACAGAGTCTCTTTCCGTCTCCCAGGCTGGAGTGCAGTGGCACAATCTCAGCTCACTGCAACCTCCACCTCCCAGGTTAAAGCCATCCTCTCACCTCAGCCTCCGGAGTAGTTGGGACTACAGGCATGCACCACCATGTCCAGCTAATTTTTGTATTCTTCCACAGAGACAGAGTTTCACCATGTTGGCCAGACTGGTTTCAAACTCCTGACCTCAAGTGATCTGCTCGCCTCGGCCTCCTAAAGTTTGGATATGACCGGCATGAACTACCGCTCTCGGTCCCATTTCTTCTTCCACTTTCTGTGGGCTGGGGGCAGCCTTGGCAGCTCAGTCCATTTGTCTGAAGCCTCTGAGTGCTACTCAGAATAGTCTGTCCCAGAAGGCAGTATCCTGTGAGAGGAACCACAGAGTGCCTCTCACCAGTTCTGATAGTACAGAGAACTGTTGCTGTAGTATTTAAACAATAATTCACTAACTGTGTTTCCAAGCTCTAAATCTCAGAACAATCTTTGCAGCACTTCAACTCCGATATAGAAAGATTTGCTGCCACTGTGCCAGAGTTCAGCCAGTGCAATTTAGAATCGTTAAAATGTGTGGCCCTGCTAATCAGAGCTTATCATGAAAACACCACCGCAGCCTTCACAACAGACGGGCTATTAGCACCACTATAATTCTCTGAATTCTGTGGTGCCTGGGCATATTTCATCAGGCTGTCCAGTTAATCCTCCCACAAAGAAGTGAGACTGTCAGCCTCACTGGAATCAGCTCTGTTAGAGGCTATAAAACTATATGAAAAAGTAGTTGTAAATGGTTTGAGTGTATAAATTATGAATGCCAGTAATTACATTGGAAATTACAAAAGGAAAGGATTTGGCCCAGTCTCCTTGAGGATGCAGAGCCTTTGCTGGGGATTTTGGAACACCTTTTCAGAATTGGGGTGTTTTGTGAATTTAATATTTATTCTTCTGGGAGGGTCATGTAACATACCTTTTATTTATTTGAGCAGAAAGTAATATACACAGGTAAAATGAATCACACCGAAACCTAATTGATGGAAACAAATCAGCTTTTAAATAAGACGATAGGTCACAAGGCCTCCCATGGTAAATAAGTCAGCAGTGTGACTGCCTCTTGTTTGTTTTCAGTAGTTAGTAGACTTCTTAAAGGACTTTACAAAAATGCTCAAGCCTTTGGTCCTTGAAGAGCCTTCTTTGGCTAAAATCCAAGCATATTTATATAGCCTACTGCTATTAAGATAATTATAACGTAGGTACCAAAATATATCTTCAATTTGAGAATCAAGAGATGTGGATTATAGTGAACATGCTGTTATTAAATTGCTGAGTCACCTTAAACAGCATTTCATAACCTGAAACATTTTACTTCTACAGGAATGAATTAACTGATCTCTCAAATGACAGAAGGACCATTCACCTAATATCACCTTGCTTTGTTTTTATACCTGTTCTCTTAATATGCCTTATGGATATACAAACAAAATACAAGATTCTACATTTTTTCAACCTTTTTCACGGTACAATTTATTGCCAGGATGCTTGAATGTGTTTGAGCTTTATATATTTGAAACATGTAACTTTATTAAGGTACAATTTTAAAATTTTATGTATTGTAATATATTTATCTCTGTGCTTCATGATTGTAACACATGCTGTCATGTGGAAATTTAACATATATTTACTGAAGAGCCACATTAATATTAGTAAATTAGTATTATTTCAGTCTTACAATATGCTGAAATTTTCCTGTACCTTATCTTATTATTTTAAAGAACTGTGTATAAGAAATAATACTATACTAATTTCACGGACAAAAATATAAAAACTTAGAAAAAATATGCATTTGCAAATCTTACAAAGCTAATAAGTGAATAGAAACAAATGTAAAGACTTACCCCAGCATCTGAATGCCACTCACATTTGTTTACTGATACTTAATTCCAGTATAGGGATCTTATGATCTACATAGGACTACAGAAGTGAACAAGACATCAGTATAATAAAGATTACCAAATAGGGAGTGCATTATGCATATATGAAAATCATTTGAGTTTAATAGCTTAATAAAGTCATATGATAAAATTCACAGCTAGGACAAATATTTTGCTAAGACACTGAATTTTAGTCTAGATAATAGGAGCACCTTTGTAAATCCACATTATGCACTGCATAAAATAAAATACAAAATAATAATTATGGTAGTAGATACTGAGTCTAGTTGTAAGTCATTCAAAATGGACTTGCCAAGACCTTCCCAGATAGAACATGAACTGACTCACAAAAAAGTGGTAGTTGAGATCAGCATGTCCTAATGCTCTAGGTTAGAGGGAGCAGGATGTGAGGAACGTGGCAGAGTAGACCCAGCAGCAAGGCAGCGATAGAATGTGGAATAGGGCAATGAGAAGTGTTCAGACAGCAGCTATCAGAAAGAAGGGAGAGAAGAGGAGCGGGAGAGAGGAGCTCTCCCAGGTGCTGATAATAACAGCACCAGGGGGAGAAAGGACCAGTTATGCCTGTGGGGGCAGATATTTCTACTTCCTTCTTAATCTTTATTTTCTATTAAAAACCTTCCCCTGTGCTGTGGAATGTACTGATACCAAGAGTTTCTCTCTCCACACCCCAGGTTTAGCCGAGGGTTTACCATACCTTGGTTATAGCTCCAATGACTTTTTTGGTCCTTTTAAATAGGTAAATAAATAAAATAAATGCAAATAGTGTAATTCAATAGAACTTTGCTACTTAGAATATTCATGTGGAATCCAGCATTGTACAGTGGTAAAAGGACTTAGATCATGGAAATTATTTTCAGCTAACTGCAGGATTACGAAGAGTGTAAACCGCCATGAATACTTCAATTTGTCTAAAATGTGAGTCATTAGGAAAGGCAGACTACTTAACTTTTTTCACCTTTAAAAATACATTTAACAATAATGTGTTTACATGTTATAATAGCATGTGTAGGACAGTACTTGAAATAGCATGAAGTTCAGAAACAGCGCAAAAGGGCGTAGATTCAAAAAGACTGCAGAGTTGTCTTCTGCTATTTACTAACTCTGGTTACTGGAGAAGCCTTGCATTTTATTATGATACTTTTAAGTTAAATCTTCTTTCCCAGGATACAGAAACAAAACCGAAATAGCATAATAGAGCTGACATGAAGTCTAAATAATATAATATAATTGAAAGGTGTCTCAAACTATAGCATGCAGTTACTATTCCAAAAAACTTAGTAACATTTTTCCTCTCCTGTGTCAATCTCATTTTTGTGGAGTTGCCATGACTTAACTTTTGGTTGAGAACTAAAATGATCAATTTCACCTTTACATTAGAGTTTCATTTTCGAAATAATACTTGTAAGTTGATAAAAGATGATAAAACTTTAGAAAAAAATAATCACACTTGAAAATAATGTATAATGTTCAAGCAAATAAGCCAAAAAATCCTTGCCTTAATTTAGGAATTCAGCTAAGAATTATTTGAAATTTAGTAATGAAGTCTTTGCCCATGCCTATGTCCTGAATGGTATTGCCTCAGTTTTCTTCTAGGGTTTTTTTTTTTTTTTTTTTTTTTTTTTTTTTTTTTTTTTTTTTTGGCTAGAGTTACATGTCAATGTCAATATGAGAGTGATATCCTATGAGGACTGTATATCCGTTTTATTTATATGGGAATGCTTCAATGTTGCTCATGTTGTTTAAGGGAAAGATGTTTTATTTAGACTGCTGGTAGCTGTCACACTATGCAAACTGGAACCGACTATTTCGGTTACATGACAGCTAAAGCATGAAACAAGTCAACAGGTGAAGTTTGAGTTGGGGAGGATGTGACTGTCTTGAGGATTTCTTTGTGCTTTGAAGTTGCTCTTTGTTAAGTCACCTTTGAAGCAGGATCTGTATGCCTTTAGTGTGCTTTAACTAACCTACTAATTTCCTAAGATGGACACTACAACAAGTAATAATTTTCAAAGAAAAAGATTTTCTGTCTGCATGTTTGTCATCCGGTGAGTTAGTCTTGTCTCTACTTTCAAACATGGCATTATCGATCAATTCTTTCATCAGGAAATACCAGAGACCTATAAAATACATACTATTCTGAGATTCATTATTAATGGCTCGGTTTTTCTCCAGAAAGTTGTAGCCTCAAAATCTAATCCGGAGGTTAAGAACACGATACTGTAGGAATAAGTGTCGCACATTGAAGAAAGGCCTGTTAATATTTGATGTTTCGTCCTAATCTGAGATCCCTATCCTAAGAACACTTTTTTTTTTTTTTTTTTTTTTAGTTTTATGCTTTTTGGTCCTTGCAAATGACCTCATGCAAGGATCATGTTCTGTCAGAGATTTGCAGCTCATGCTAGTGCAGGAAGTAAAAGGAGTTTGGAGTTGGATCTGGATATTAATCCCAGCTCTGTTCACTTACTATGTACAGTCTGGGGTATGTGGCATAATTTTTAAGTCAAAAGAAAGAATAATAATACCTAAATATAACATTAATTGTAATGAAAGTATATATAAATTGACTATACAAAAAGCATCAAACAAACCATAAAGCATATGAGAAAAAGAGTAAAACACATATAAGCCCCCACAATTATTTTTTTTTTCGCCTTCTAAACTTTTTGATGATGTCCAAGATGGTCTGCAAGTTACCACTGGGAATTTAAAAATGAAGTCTAGTTTTCTGCTTCGTTGTCTAAGTATACAAATTCATAAATGTGAAAACAATGTTTTAAGCGACATGAGAAAAATGGCAAATATTTCATGAGGATTTACTGGAAGGAAAAGTCACAATGAGGAATCGGGGATGAGTTTATCAAGGAGGTGGCATTTGATCCCAGCCATAATGCACTGGCAGGCTGTTGAAAAATAGAATTTCATCTTAAGACTGGCATGATAATGACATTGATTAAATACAGAAAATTAGAATTGGAGAAGTTGTATGGGAACAGAGGGTAATGCATAGATGAGGAATTGAGTGCACGTAAAAAGCAAAAAAAAAAAAAAAAAAGAGAGAGAGAGAGAGAAAACATAGTGGGGAAAGTAGTTGGAGGTTAGGGAATACGGAATCCTGATCAAAGTGCCACCTTCACCTCTGGGGAAGGGGAATCTAACTAGCAGAAATCCAGCAGATTCCCCTGCACAGTTTCAACCCAGGAACCTTGTCTGTGCTATTTCCTCTGTTTTTAGTGTCCTTCTTTCCCATCTATCTACGTCCTCATGTTCCACCCTTAAGCTTTCAAGCCACTTTCTCCATGAAACCTGATTTAATGTCCCCTGTGACAAACCCCCTTCCTCTCAGTCCATATTTTGACATGTGTGTTTACAAATCAGGACATAACCAGGTAGAAAATGAAGTCATATGCCCCAACAAAATCTTTTCTTCTCTTTTTTTCTTTTTAAATTTTACATTTTTAATTTTTATTGCTCCCTAATAGGTGCATATATTTAAGGGTTACATGAGATATTTTGATACAGGCTTGCCATGTGTAATATTCACATCGGGGGAAATGGGGTATCCGTCACGTCAAGCATTTATGCACTGTGTCACAAACATCACAACTAAAGGAGGAGGTCACTAACATACTTGTTTAGTTATTTTAAAGTATACAGTTAAATTATTATTGACTCTGTTGTGCTATCAAATACTGTCTTACTCATTCTTTCTAACTACCTTTTGTACCCATTAATCATCCCCAGTGCCCCCCACCCCTTACCTCCCCAATACCCTTCCCAGCCTCTGGTAACTCTGAAGTTATCATCACAAAAGCCCAGCATAGCAAAGCAACATGCACACAAGATTCTCAGAAAGTATCTGAGACCCCAGTTGTTTACTGAAGAAAGTGTGGTTGTCTTCCAAACCTACTTGTCCTTCATGCATGAGCTTAGAGCTTCTGCATGCATCTCAGATACTTTATGAATCTAGTATCACCAAACACAGAGAGGTCAATCTTTCCTCATGATCAACTACCCTAAACAACATACTCACTAATTATGAGAGAGATAGATCATAGAATTTCCAGGTTCCTTCCAGTTCTAAAAGTCCACATGTTTTATTATATGCAGGAATATCAGGCAGTTGTCCAATCTGAAAAATAATTGTTTTAATTGCTTTTTGATTTAAGATACCGTCTTTATCATACATGTTTCTTTTTGGTTTAACTGCAGTCACGATTAGTCCTTTACATTTTGTATCAATGCAATAAAATATTTAAGCTTCTAAAATGCCAGTCATCCAAAAACTGCGTGCATAATGACAAATTCTTAGCAAAACCTGTATTATAGTGGTTTTCTAAATAATTTATTTCACAATCCTCATATTCCTCATTGACAGTTAAACTCCAGGATTAAGGTGGCCACTCAACCAATGAATAAAAACCCTATCTTGATCTAAGGACAAAGTGAAAGTTAGTGGGAAACATTGTTGTTACATTCACTCATGAAAAAATCAGTTTCTAATTAATACTCTAAATAAATTCAGATTTGGCTGTAGATGTCTCATTTATTTTCCATAAGTATTAATTATATGTATTTGCTTTGTGTCTGACTATCTGTTACATTATATGATTTGGCTTGTAGTTTGAAATTAAAGTTTTCATATAAACTTTTTCCATATAAACTTTTGAGTCACCTTCTTGATATCCCCGAATAAAAACTCTCTGAATCCTGCTTTATTTTTAAATATGTTTATATGTTATATGTTTCCAGCAGTATGACCAATTCAGTATCTGAACAAGTTCTCACTTTAAAACAAAAGTTTAAAATAAAAAGTAAAAATCTATTAAATGTCTTATTTAACTTAAAGAAAATAGAAAATCCCCAGGGGTGGGGAAAACAAAGCAAAAAAAAATTAAAGAAAAAATTTAGAGCATTAAGAAAAGACTGAAGCTACATCACACTATAGTGTCTGCCAAAGACCAGAGAGCTACAGGTCAGGTGTTCATGGCTCAGCCAGGTAGCTCATCAAGGTGGGAGTCTGACACCAGATCTCCAAAGACAGGACACTAAGAGGCTGCACTCGAATATAGGATGACCTAATCAAAGAACTAAACACACACAGATGCACGCACACACACACGTACAGGCATGTACACATGCACACACACACAGTACAGGCACACATGTACACACAAATGCATATGCACACACGTGCACACACACAAACTATGCACACACATGTGCATACATATGCATGCATGCACAAACACACACAGCACTGTAAGTCCATAGGATATCTGCTGTGTCATTATTGGTGTTGGATAAACAGGAAAAATATCACCCCTCAGAATTTGTAACTACAGCTGCCCTCCCATGTCCAACTTTGCATTACCTGGATTTCCTGAGAGGGCTCAAGCCCTGATTTATTTTAGAGAGAACTTTGCTTGATAATGGCACAGTAGTTTATCCTAGGACTTTTTTTTTTTTCTAACACTGTCCTCAAATAATTCCCAAAGATCAAACTTAAAAATAGTAAAATTGTAAGTATTATTTTTATGATTGTATTATTCTATGTCATAATAATAATAATCCCAAAACCAATAAAATAAGGCATGATGGCAAGAATCAGTCAAGCTATGAATAGCAGGGCAGGCCGATAATGTGCAAATGTTTGCCTTCTAGGCATGCATTTGAAATAAATATTTTGAAAAGATAGGAATAAAGTTCTTTAAATTAATAATACCATTTTAAAGTAATAAATAAAATTTCTAGAGATAAAAATACAGGGTCAGACGTGGTGACTCATGCCTGTAATCCCAGCACCACAGGAGGCTGAGGCAGGCAGATCACTTGAGGTCAGGAGTTCAAAACCAGCCTGGTCAACATGGTGAAACTCCATTTTTACTAAAAACACAAAAATTAGCCTGGTGTGGTGGTGGGCACCTGTAATCTCAGCTACTTGAGAGGCTGAGGCAGGAGAATTGCTTGAACTCAGGAGGCAGAGGTTACAGTGAGCCGAGATCACACCATTGCATTCCAAGCCTAGATGAAGAAGTAAGACTCTGTCTAAAAATAAAACAAGAAAAAAGAAAAAAATTACAGTAGCTTAGATTAAATTATAGTGACTGGGTTAAACAGTCAATTAGGCACTATTAGAGAGAATGAGTTGAAGAAATTTATCATGAGGTCAATCAAAGCATCAAGATGACAGTCAGAATTATGAAACTGGAGAATATAAAACAATATGTTTATGATCTCATGTTAGAAAAATACATTTTTAAGTCAGACATAAAACTTCACGAAATAAGTTCCAACGAAGTTAAAATTAAGAACTTATCTTCATCAAAATCTTCAGTAAAAAAGTAAAAAGTGAAGTCCCATGCTGGGGAGAGTTATTTATCAAACATATACTTTACAAAAAGATTTATAATCTGGAATTTTTAAGTCTTAGAAAACAGTAAGAAAATATCTAATACATTTGAAAAAAAAAGAATGGAAGACTTGAAGGAAAATCTCATGAAGAGATTTGCAACCTGACTCGTTTTTAAGGAACTGCAAATTAAATCTTCAATAAAAACACTTTTACCAGGACTGAATTTCTAAAAATTCTAAAGACGGACAATTTTAGGTGTTGGCAAGGAAGTAGTGTTCTTGGAACTATTATATATTTCTTGTGGTTAAAAAAAGATAGTCACTTTGGAAAAGCACCCAGAAAAAGAACTGGGATTGTCTATTGTATTAGTCCATTCTCACACTGTTATAAAGAACTACCTGAGACTGGGTAATTTATGAACGAAAGAGGTTTACTTGACTCAGCTCCACCGGCTGTACAGGAAGCAATGCTGGGAGACCTCAGGAAACTTATAATCATGGCCAAAGGTGAAGAGGAAGTGAGCACATCTTACCATGGTGGAACAAGAGAAAGAGAAAGAGAGAGAGCAGGGGAAAGAGCCACACATTTATCAAACAACCATATCTTGTGAGACCAGCAAGGAGGATGTCTGTCCCCATGATCCAATCACCTCCAAGCAGGCCCCTCCTCTACTGGGAATTACAATTCAACATGAGATTTGGGTGGGGACACAGAGCCAAACCATATCATCTGTTAAACCTGAACACATGTACATGCTATGACTCATCAAGCTAGCAATAGAGCCTAAAAAATCATGTGTTCCAGAAAATATGTGCAAACATACCCACAGTTGCAAATGCTTAAAAGCAAAATGGTAGAAAAAAATGCAGTTGTTCACCAACAATATAAATGATACATGAAGTATAAAATACATAATTCAATTAAAAAAGTAATTACAAATATTCTATAGGCAATAATATGGGTAAATGACTAGAATGAGAAATGGAGTGAAAAAAAGGCAACTTCTATAAAACATACATAGTATTATTTCATTTATAAAAAGTTAAAAACCTGGAAAAATAAGTTATAGAATTATCATCATTTTCATATCAAAGTGTAGGGGATGAACAAACCATACATTGAGAATAGTGATTTGCTCTGAAAGGCAAAAAGGAGGCCATCATGTTCTAAAGATTTGCTCTGTATCTTTAGCAGAGGGAGATGCCGTCTAAGAGTCAGTTTCCTACTAGAAAGCAGAGGATGCTTTGAAACTGGAATGATTCAGAGGGCTTGTTTGTGAATAGATTATTCAGAATAGGAAGGGCATAGAAACCAGAAGACGTGGTGATGACAGCTAACCCAGTAGTAGCTAAGCTGTTGCTATCCCTAGGCTGAAGGGCGAGGAGAGAAAGAATAGAGTCATCACTGGAACCTGGAAGGAAGGAGACAGATAGTGGAGGCTGCCTTGAGAGGTGCAGTTACTTTCAGTCAAGGGCACAGGCAGCAGAACAGGGAGAGAGTCAGCAATACAAGCAACCTGCCTTAAGTTCACTTACCCTCTCTTATCTCTTCAAGGCGCTGCCAATCCATGGAACACAACTTGAAGTCCCAGGGGCTGAAGGACCTGTCGATGTATTCCCCAAAGGTCAGTTTCCTGAAGCAGGAAGCAGATGAGCAACAGAAAATAATTTGAGGGGTAAAAGAAAGATGTCTGGCACCATTTTAAATATTCATTTGTATAAATATTCTAAATTAATTTTACTCTTGCAAAGGAAAGGAGAAAGAACAACTGGGTGAGCCTTTGAATATTAAGGAGGTGAAGCAAATGATTAAAGCGTTAGAAGAAATCACAAAGACACAGGGCAGGAGGAGGTCACAGAGCGAGAAGGATGAATGTGGAAGATGTTTTCTGAGGAGCTCATTACGGTCATTTGACTTCACTTTTCCTCCATCATTTCCATGAAGGGTCCTCACATTTTAAGAACTCTTTATTTCTCTTGTTCAAATTTTCATGTCAAACTATTTTATCTGAACAAATGTGGTACTGCTAGAAATACACCTCATAGATTTCGACATACTTATCTTTTCAAAATCTGTTGCTCCTTGCAGAACATCAGAAACTAGGTTAATAATATATTTCTCTGTAGAAGCAGCTCATGGTAATTTTACTGTGAATCAGCTGAATCGACCATTTTTATAGAGGTCTTGAAGGTATTCAAATTTTATTCTCTTATGTTCCAGGAGGTATGTATGAAGTTGCAAAGATTACTTTGGTACACTGACATCGGGATTTACAGTATCCACCTGTATTTAAGATGCTCATTGTTATTTTATATTTGATAAAGACAAGAAAAAAAGGAAAAATTATTTCTTCTTCTTCTTTTTTCTTCTTTGAGACAGAGTCTCACTCTGTCACCCAGGCTGGAGTGCAATGGCGTGATCTCAGCTCACTGCAACCTCTGCCTCTTGGGTTCAAGCAATTCTCTCACCTCAGCCTCCCCAGTAGCTGGGACTACAGTACCCACCATCACACCCAGCTAATTTTTGTATTTTTAGTAGAGATGGGGTTTCCTCATGTTGGTCAGGCTGGTCTCGAACCCCTGACCTCAGGTGATCCAGCCCCTTCAGCCCCCCAGAGTGCTGAGATTACAGGCGTGCATTTCTTCTTTTAAAAAAAAGATATACTCTGTTTGTTCATTTATGTTCATAGCGAAATTGAAAACAAGGTATAGAGAGCACCTATATATCCCCTGCCGCCTTTCAGACACAGCCTACCTCATTATCACCATCTCCTCCCAAAGTGGTGCATTTGTTGTAATAGATGAACCTAAATTGATGTATCGTTACCTCCTAGTGTCCCTAGTTTACATTTGGATTTACACTTGGTGTTGTATGTTCTATGAGAATGGAAAAATGTGTAATGATGTGCATCCACCATTAATTTATATTAGTGCGCTATGGCACAGAAACTATGTGCATGGAGCAGCTTTGCTGCCTTACAAATCCCCTGTTCTGTGCCTGCTTATGCCTCCCTCCTCCCTCACTCCTGGCAACCACCAATATTTTTACTGTCCCTGTCGTTTTACCATTTCTAGATTGTCATGTTGTTGGAATCAGACAGTGTATAGCTTTCTCAGGTTGTCTTCTTTCACTTAGGAATATGTATTTAAGTTTCTTCCATGTCTTTTCATGGCTCAATAGTTCATTTCTTTTCGGTGCTGGATAATGATCTGTTGTCTAGATGTACCACAGTATGTCCATTCACTCCCTGAAGGCATGTTTGTTGCACCACAGTACGTCCATTCACTCCCTGAAGGCATGTTTGTTGCACCACAGTACATCCATTCACTCCCTGAAGGCATGTTTGTTGCACCACAGTACATCCATTCACTCCCTGAAGGCATGTTTGTTGCACCACAGTACATCCATTCACTCCCTGAAGGCATGTTTGTTGCACCACAGTACGTCCATTCACTCCCTGAAGGCATGTTTGTTACCCCTAGGCTTTGGCAATTATGAACAAAGCTGCAACAAATATCTGTGACCAGGTTTTTATGTGGGCATAAGTTTTCAACTCCTTTGGTTAAATATCAATGAGCACAATTGCTGGGTTGCATGGTGAGAGTATGTTTCCCAGTTTGGAAGACTGTCAAACTTCCAAAGTGGATGAAGCATTTCACATTTTACCAGCAATGCATGAGATTTCTGCTGCCCCACACCCTGACTAGCATTTAGTGCTGCTGTTATTCTGGATTTTGGTCATTCTCCTAGGTGTGTGTGGTGGCATGTCATTCCTCTTTCAATTTGTATTTCATTGATGACATGAAATGTGGAGCATCTTCTCATATGCTTACTCGTCATCTGCATATTTTCTGTGGGAAAGTGTCTATTAAGTTTTTTGGCTGATTTTTAAATTGGATTGTTTGTGTTCTTAATGCTGAATTGTTAAAGTTCTTTGTGTATTTTGGATAACAGTCCTCTACCAAATGTGTCTCACAAATATTTACTCCTGGTCTGTGGCTTACTTTCTCATTTCTTGACATTGCCTTTCAAAGTACAGAACTTTTAAATTTTAGTATGGTCCAATTTGTGATTGTTCCTTTCATCGGTTGTGTCTGGTGTTGAATCTAAAAGGCCATTGCCAAACCCAAGGTCATCTAGGATTTTCTCCTAGGTTCTATTCTAGGAGTTTTATAGTTTCCCATTTTACATTTAGGTATATGATTCATTGGAGATAATTTTTATGAAGGGTACAATGTCTAGGCCTACATTCATTTTTTAAAATATGGCTGTGCAATTGTTCTAGTACCATTTATTGATAAGGCTGTCTTCTCTGCATTGTACTGCCTTTGCTTCTTTGTCAGCTATCACTTGAATATATTTACATGAGTCTATTTCTGGGCTCTGTATTTTGTTCCATTGGTCTATTTATCTATTCTTCAGATATATTTGTCTATTCAGTAAAGACAAGAACACCACATAGTCTTGGTGATTGTAGCTTCATGGTAAGTCATGAAGTTGGGTAGTGTTAGCCTCCAACTTTGTTTTTCTCCGGCAATATTGTTGGCTCTTCTGGGCCATTTACCTGTCCATATAAACTTTTGAGTCACCTTCTTGATATCCCCCCAATAAAACCTCTCTGAAACCTGCTTTATTTTTCAATGTCAAATATATTCCAAGTAGCAGATTTATGCACTAAAATGTACTAGATCTTTTATGCTAAAATCTTATATGAATGAGTATAATTGCTTTATTTATACATGCAGAAAACTGAGTGACTTTAAAGATGTTTTGCGGAATGCCAATAGTTGATCTGAATGGTATTTCCCAGAATGAAGCAGTGGACAATAAAATGTGAATTACCTCTCCCATGCCATTGACTCACCTGGATGCCTGGGAGGGAGTTTGCTTTGTCATTTCAATGGATGCCCGAGGAGCAAGGTCTGGACCTGCTTGTGCTGTATAAGGGTTACCACCATGCCCTCTACTCAGTTCCTTCCCCACAAGTGTAACTTACCCACTTCCTGCAACCCGTCTTACAGGATAGATCACACATACTGAGTAAGTTAAGGATAAAGAAAAGAAGACAGAAAAGAGGGATGGAAGGAAGAATAAATGAAACAAGAAAAACACAAATGCATTGAAAAAATCATTATTATAAACAATGGGATTCAAACAAACTCTAGTTTACATATCTTGCTTACTCTTGATTGCATTTTTGTTTTAGTTGAAGAAACATTTGTAAGTGACAGTTATCTGTTTTTTTGTGACAGAACTAGCTATGAAGGTAAAAAAGTCTGTAAATTTCTATCACTGGAGACACAGCATTAAAAGAGTCCATTAACAAGGATTTAAAATAAAAGTGACATTTTATAAAGAAAAGAGAAGAGAAATCTAAAGATCTATAATATATATACCAATAAGAAAGAAGCATGATGTTAAATAAAGGGCCATGCAATTATTTCATTTCATCTCAACTTTTACTCTATATATTTTAAAAGAGGTCTTTTAGAATTATTTGCTGTGTATTTTTATTATAGATCTCTCATGTGCTTTATCCGATGGAAAACATGACTGACACCCACAGCTACTATTAACACTTTTTCAAATTCATAGTTCTACTTGTTTCACTCAAGTCCAGTTATTCTTCAGTTCAGGACAATCTACTCTCTCTCTCTTTTCCCACATTACCCATCCTTTGCCATTTATTGAGCATTTGTAGTGGTCCTGCATTTCCGAAGAGTGCTGAATTATTGACCCCAAGACTTCCTCATAAGCAGCTGATGCTTGCATTTACGTGATTTTCCCAGATAGCATCATTGGAAGGCATCTAGGCAATCCAGTTATTATAGTCCTTCCTAAAATGACCATTAAACTATTGACTAAAACATGTCGTTTTCCAGCCATATGACAGGAATGGCAAGTAATTTCACTCATGTGCACGCAATGACAACTATGCCCATAGTGCTGCTTGGCTGACCGGGTTAATAAGATGCTTATAGATTTCAGAGAAACTAAGAAAGACATAAAAAAGTACATTTCACACATGACTTAAAATGGCAATGAAAAGCCAGTCTAATTGTAAGAATTGCCAGCCAAATAAGGCTTATTTTCTGGTGGTAATACAGTCAAACTTAAAGAATAATTATCAAACACTTACATGTGCTTATTATGACACAGCAACCTCATAAATGCTTTGCCTCGGGTCAGCGTGTGGCTCAGGTCACAATCATGTCTTAGTGCCCGGCCAGGCTTAGAATGTCCTCAGGATTTCTCAATTTTAAATGAAATATGGTATTTATGGTTGAATTAGACTTGCTTTAATGAGACTTAATTTTATGTTTCCAGCCTCAGAGGTAGGTAATTACTTTAAGAAGACTTGGCCCAAAGATGACTATACAACCCAAGCAACTGCATCAGGAGTATTGACCCAGCACTCCAGAAAGCATGACGTTTCATTTAGATCAAAATTGTTCTTCTAAATTAAAGTTCGTTTTGGAAGCTATGTTTTCTTTCGCATATAAAAAACAGTATTAGTATAACCTCAGAGCCTAAAATAACATCTAACAGAGTAAACAGTCCCCGTATACTGCTAATATGTGAATGAATACATAGATGTGTGCGCAATAAGTGTTCAGCCTTTTCCAGC